AAAATGGTTTAATTACTTTATCATTATACTTTTAATGAGGATTAATTTTCCTATCGAACCCGTTCGGCTAACGATCCTCCATCATACAAGAGAGCGGTGGGTAAGAATGCATACCGAATGACGGTCATTTTATAGGTCGCTTCCTTAAACTCTCCTTATATATATATATATATATATATATATATATATATATATATATATATATATATATATATATATATATATATATATATATATATATATATATATATATATTAAACCTTTAATGTTACATATAATATAAGGGTGTATTTCAAAACATTTTTAAACTATCAAGGGTTTAGTCTTTATAAAAATTAAACTTTTAATTTAATTAAATTTAAACCTTTTATGAATTTATTAATTATCTTTTAAAAAAATCATTTAATTAAATTATTAATAACATCCATAAGAATGTAATTTAAACATTTTAAATTACTAGTGTTTTTAAATCTTATTTAAATTTTCAAAAAATAAAATCAATTTAAATTTAAATTTCAAAATTTAAAAACTTTGATTTAATAGTTATCTATTAATTTAACCCTTAATTAATTTATTAAATCAATTATGGATTATCTATTAAATTAAACAAATTAATTTAACCTAATCCCTTGTCCCCTAATTTTCGAAAATGGGATAGGATTTATATGATTCCATAATTATCTAGTCAAACAAGGAAGATAATTAACAGATATAACAACCGTATTAATCCCTAAATTTTCAAAATCTTGGACTTGGAGTGGAAGATAAGGCTTTCAATCCTCGCCTTAATTTCGAAAACCCTAGGGTTAGGAAACCCTAGATCTCAAAATTTTGGAGGCCAAAGGAAAGGGTTAGAAAACCTTTTGCAATTTTCGAAAACAAGGGTTATGGAACCATTTTTGTGAAAATGACATGGCTTAGGGTTTAATTGCCATAAACCCTAATCTTGTCAAATTCAATCAATTGCATCAAATCTATATGAAAAGAAAAACCAAAAGATCTGGTACCACTGATGGATTTTCAGCATAGAAAACAATCCTTATGTGTGCATACAACCCTAATTGTTGGATCTATGTTTTCTCTATTAGACATACAAGCATTAAACACAAAAACTAGAAACCCTAGGAGGCACATGTAATTTTCGAAATTAATAATAAACTAGGATTAGGATACATATCTTTAAGATTGTTATTGTAAACAATATTAAATTTCCTCCCTGAAAACCTTTGATAGCAAGCGCCACAAGTGTCACACCTCTAATGGCTCACAAACAAACTTTAGAAACCAAGGAAAACTATATATATATATATATATATATATATATATATATATATATATATATATATATATATATATATCGAGAGAGAGAGAGAGAGAGAGAGGAGGAGGAGGAGGAGGAGAATCCAAAACTTCGTCCAAAGCACTTAGAAGGAGAGCATGGATGAAATTCTACCCTAAGGAGGATTTATATAGGTGTTAGGAAGGTGTAGGATCAGATATGTATCTCCAAGATATCCCTAATCCCTTAACTTCCTCCCTAAGGCATGCACCCTTAGAGCCCAAGAAACCCTATGAGCACTCTAGATTTTGTTCCCACCCCCCTCTTTAAGAATAAAAGAATCCTTCATTCGTTGCTGCTGCGAACCGACTCCACACACTAAGCTAAGCCAAACTAATCTAAATTAATTTCCAGGGGTAAACCTAAAACATAGGCCGAACGATGGCCCAATCTAACCCGACCCACTAATGGCCCAAACCAATGGGGCCTACTAAGGCCCAAACCCAAGTTAGGCCCGATGAGGCCCAAACCAAACTCGTTAGGCCCAAACTGGGCTATCCAACCTAATAAGTAAAAACATGGCTCAAAATAGAAAGTCCAACCCCAAAATCAAGTCCAAAGCAAAAATCCCAAAGAGTCCACTGATGACCCGAACACGCGGCGTTCCCGAGATGAACGCACAACTTTCCCAACCAATGTCCAAAAATTGCACCAATGACTACATACCTTAAGTCCAATGTCCAAATGTTCAAAATGGCTTCATATTATTGACTTAACCCAAATATTTGTCAACTTGGCACCTTTGCATGGTCCAAAACGACCCAATCATGATTTCAAACTTTCGAACTCCATAAAGAGGCCAAGATGCCAACTTATACCTTAAGACCTTAGTCTAAACTTCCAGATATGATTCAAACAAACTTCTTAAGTCATAAAGTTCTTGACTTTATGAATTAGCAAGACTTAATGGGACCCAAATCAAAACCCTAAGTCCCAAGCTTCACCAGAAGTCTACCAAATCATGCATGGAAGGTTTATACTCATCAAGATCCACACTTTATGACTCCGTGACCCCAAAAGGACCAAATACGAAACTCAAAGGTTCTGGAGTAACTTCTACTCACAAGAACCACCACAAAGGGACCAAAACCAACTAGCTAGATCTACATGAAAGAGTTGTCAAGGTTAAGACTTTATACCTCCAGAAGTTAGATCTAGGTGAGCAAAGTCTAGATCCAAAAGATCTACGTCAAGCATTGACTTTTCAAGAAGTTCCTTCTTTCTCTTCAAGCACCAAATCACACAAAAATCACCATAAAGTTCAAGAAATACACAAATGGGGGCTAGGTTTTCGTTATTAGGATTAGAGAGGATGGAGGTTGAAGGAAATGAGGGTTGGAGGTGAGTTAAGGTCTTTAAATAGGGTCCAAGACCCTAAATTAGGGTTTTAATCTGGCCTGAGGAACATACCACGTTCCCAAATGCTCCCGGGTCCAAATTCATGTGTACCTCCCTTGTACGCTATGTGTACCCACTTTAGTCAAAACCCTTCTAACTTCAAATGATCATACCTTTTGCATCCCCTGTCCGTTTTCGACGTTCTTTATATCCACGGAAAGGTAACGAGAAGCCCTACACTTTTATAAACTTTAATTAGTTTGAAAACCAAGCGAAATTAAATCCAAAATTCATAAAAGGCCTGAACCAACGCCATTACCGATACCCTTGGGCTCCAAAACACAAACCAAATTCCCGGATCATCCAAACTACATCATCCACCTCCAAATGAGTGCAAACTCAATTCTTCAAGGATTCTAAGTCTGCTAATACCCACTCCTTGATCATTACTCCGCAATAGGAAACGGTTCGAAACAGGTGTTACAGCGCTGGTAGCCGGAGAGGGGAAGTCTCCGGTGGTCAGCGGTATCTCTTATACTATGGACTGTTAAATGAGGGAGAATCGTCGGAGCAAATGATCGATAAAATGGAATAAAATAAGAGCAAAACGAAACAAAAAGAGGAAGCGAGTGGGTGTAATCTGCTTCGACCTTTAGCGGCGACACCCAATAGCAACAACAAATGAATCAATACCGGCGACACGAGTCTTTAGCGGCGACCTATGAAGAGGGAAAAGAAGACGTATTTTTTTGACCTTTAGCGGCAACATATTGTCATCGGTATTGCTTTTGTGCGTTCCACAAGTTTCTCAGCCATTGGATTAGAAAAACGATCGAACAGTTGGCGTTCACCAGAACGTGAAAACGTAGATTCGGGTAGGTAGGCATTACCGGCGACAGAAACTTTAGCGGCGACTTTCCGATTTGTCACCGCTATTGGTCTCGTAGGTAATGGCTGTATGTCTTGTAGTGCATTCAGAATTTGCGTGTTAGTGTGTTACATTTGCTAATCAACGACAAAAAACACAATATAAAAATGAGAGATCATCCAATTTAGAAATTAGAAACAGTGAAACACTTGTTTAATTTCAGTTGACGATTAAAAAAACAAAACGAAAAACAAAACAAGAGTGTAATAAAAAACAAAAGACGGAGTCTGGTAGAATCAGAAATCCAAAAAACAAGAAACGTTGTTTGAGTTTTGTAGTTGTTACAAATTTGGAAGTTTGGATTTGAACAATACGTAAGCTCTTGATTGGTCCAAATACAATTTTTAATTTTAAGCCCAATTTTCCAATTTTAAGTTCAATTTTTCAAAACATGAGTAGTAATTTTTAATTGTAGCATAAGTTATTAGAATTAAAAAAAAAAAAAAAAAAAGAAGAGTTTTGGTGTTTTTGATTATTAGATTGTCTGTTGCTAGACAATGAACTCAACCATATGTAAAATTAGACCCCCTTCACGACATGGACCATGTGCAGGCGCCCACCTCACACACCCTCAAAGACGCCCATGAGTAGTTGTTTGTGTGTGTTTTATTCATTCTAAAAAACAAGTAAGATGTAGTATGGGTGAGCAAGATTACCGTACTTTACGATCCAAGCCCGAAAGCGAAACGGCACCATATATGTGAATGTGAGACACTATTTAGTACTCTAAAATCATAAAATTTAGGATTACATACTAGTGTTAATATCGAAAACCAATACCAGGCCTATAACATTAGTTCAGTTCAGTAGTACTCGATATCATTTTTTCACCCATTTTACTACTCAGTATTTTCGGGTCGGTTTTGATTCCATACCCATCCCTAGGATGTAGAACTAAAATCTTTCAATTAAACTACAAACTTGGAAGACGGTGAAAGGAACAAAGGAATAAACTTATGGAGTATGCATATTCTACCGTGTTCCCACAGTGTGCACATTGATCCCTTTCCTTTCGAACGGTCCATTGATTAACTTTTGTCTTTTTCAAAGTACATCAACAATTATTTCAATTTGATTTTAAATATCAAACTTATTTTTTATTTTAGAATCTTATCATATATATTTTTGGAAACTTTTCATATATTTTTTATTTACAAACTCGGGTTATACCATACGTGGTATCTTGGTAGAAGTATTATTCCAGCAAATGACTTGTGAACTAGTAATCTTCCATTATCCATTTTTTATTATTCCAATTTCGCCAAGTGGTTGCCATCTCCAGCCTCCAGCCAACCACCTTTACACACTTTACGTTGACCAACTCACCTCCCTTTCCCCCTATTTAAACACCACCTTCACCCACCAACACACCACCGCACTCCGCTCCCTCTCCAAATGGATCACAATTTCAGCAGCTCCACCCCAGATGATGATGATCATAATAACGATTTCTACGCTGAACTCACAAGACAGATATTGCTTCTTACAGACGAAGATGATGATGTTCAAGTGAAGAAAAGGGGTGCCCGGAGGTTTAACCAGAGATCAGTCGGTGGTGGGTTGTCAGTGATGCCGGGAAACTGTTTTTTCAGTTGGTCGGAAGGTGGGGAGGTTGAGGTTCCTGGTTGGATGGAGAGGTTGTGGGCGGCAAACGGTGGCGGAACCGGAGTGTTCATACCTCGTGCAGGGGTACTACAGAGGTCCAGATCAAAAAGACATAAGAAAACACGGAAGAACAATGAAACCAGGGGTAGGCCACGCATCTAGTACTAGGACACAAGAATCTTGAATCTTCATAAGACTCGTGTACTTGTATCAACAGCATGCATAACGCAATATTGTTTTAAATGATATAGATACCCTTACTGTATAAGTAGGTATACGATATAATCGACTCTGAGACTGAGGGTGTTTTTGTTATTTCTAAAATGTAAATTGACAAAAATGCCATCCATGTTAAACAGGATATGGGTCGGTTTCAGACTTTAGGTATTTTTGTCATTTACAAAATCATCTGAGGGAATAATACTTTCGGTAAATCCCGACTTTAGTCCCTTACTTTCTCTTTATTCCGATTCTAGTCCATGTAGTTTCTCTTCTTGGTTAACTTGACCCCCTCATCCAAAATTCTTACACTTTAGACCAAAATCATAATTTAACCCATACGTAATGTATATTGACTCAGAATCACAAAAGATTCTACTACATCGATATTAACACAAAGTTGCAAGGTGATTGATGGTTTACTTTTCGTTGTAAAGTGATTATACTAGAGGATGGTACAACCATGGACCAACTAAGAGAGAAGTTAGATAAGAATAAGTGATAACATTTCGAATCATTAAGTGTATAAAATGAACTTGAAGAATCGACTAATGATATGAAGTTGGTATATTGATTATTGATACATATATGTTTTGTAATATTTTACCCATAGTTTTGGAAATGTAAGAAACCGAGTTATGTCTTATTTAACTAGCTGACTCTGAGATAGATTTTTTGAATTGGGTAACAAACATGATTAATAATGGTTCGCGACTATCTTTTAGGTGCAGTGGCGGATGCAGAACATTTTTGTAGGGGTGGCACTAAAAAAATTTTCCAAATAAATCTATATTAGTAGTGTCACTCATGTTTTAAGCCGGTGCACCTAATAGAAAAAACATTAAAAAACATTATTATTTTTTTACACTACGCGCCGACGTCGGAGCAGTGGCCCGGGACCCTTGGGGCACCACTAAGGTCCGCCACTGTTTAGGTGGTACCTTAATTTTAACACTTATTGTTGGAAAAAGTAGGGTTTGTAGTAGATCTCTGGATACCACTTGGATCGTGAGAACATTTTCGAAACTGATATTTCTACCATATGTTTGGGTAGCAAGAAATCCAGTCTAGGATAATACAAGAGGACACTTACGATTCTAGGCACAGAAGTCGTAAGTCAAATTACTAGAAGGATTCTATGTTTGTTTGATGAAAATGTGAGTTTAAGAATTTTGTGTGTCTTTCCTCAAAGAGAAAAGTCGTTTATATTAAAAACGAGATTAGGGTTGGCCGTCATGGGTTGCTTCAGAAGCAAGTCAAGGAAATCTGTCATGGGTTACTTCAGAAGTAAGTCAAGGAAATTCGGATTTTAATGAGGATTTAGGTTTTATACTAGGGTTAGACGTCATTGCTTTGCCCCTTGGACCTCGCTAGGGGCCCAGCCCCTAGACCCCGCCAAAGGGGCGCCGCCCCTTTGGAAACCCCGAACCCAGGGGAATTGCCCCCCGGAGCCCCGACTTGTCGTCGAACCGGCTGCTAATTCGATCTTATACATGCATGCACTCCGCACAAACCCGTATATATATATATATATATATATATATATATATATATATATATATATATTAGTGTACAAATTATGATGCCCATTAGCTCACATGTTAGTTCTAGTTACATAAAATGATATTGTGACACTAAAATCACCAACACTTATTTGGTTCAAGTTTTATTTAAGCTTTGAGCTCTCTTTTGGTCTTGTGTTGCGACTCTAAGGAAGGATCATCCCAAGGGGAATGTAGTAAGATATATAAATTAGGGCTAGTAGTTTTAACCTTTAAGTATAAAGTTTTGGAAAACGAATTAAAAGTATATTAAATTTAATAGCGTTAATTAGTAAAAAAAATGTTTATTTAACTGGTTAAAATTTAAACAATAAAGGTACATAAAAGAGGTGTTGATTTATCAAGATTTGGAGTTGATGTGTTTTAAGAGTCCTAACCATTCCCACCCGGGTTTTATTTGGATTGTTTTTACTTGAAGAAATGAGAGGGGTATCTTAAGTTTGAAAGGGAATTCAAAATTGAGAGAAGAATTGAAGTCATGTTGAAGTTCTTACTTAATAGGCGAAACTTGTAGGGTGGCAATTCATTCCATCTATTTATTGGTTAAGCTTCTATTAATGATGGAGTACTATGTTCATCAAATTTTAATCCAAGGATGAACATCATAATGTCAAGTCTGACATCAAACTTAATTTTAGCGATGCGCTTCATCAAATTTGAATTTAGGTAGCAATTTGTCCATCTTTATTGCTTGTAATGGCATGTTTGATATCAAACCCATAGGTTATGTGAATTTCTGTGTTATCTACTCGACCATGTATTATTGTGTGAAATTTCATGAGATTTTACTTGACCTTAGACACGGGGTGATATTTTGGTTGCTTTCATTACTTCATAGGGTCATGTGTATTGAGTACTTATAAGTTGAAATTAGTCAAATGAATTTAGTAATTAACCTTAATTTTCTAATTATCAGTTGTTGTGTTAATGACTTAGCTTTATTATGTTTATTTAGGTGATCTTGGTGTTTATTTTTACTAGCAATGTAAGAGAAAAGATAATATAAACGTTTAAGGCGAGTACATTACCGTAGAGGAGCTATCCATTATTATGAAATTGTACTTTGATATGATTTTTCAAATTTATTATGATACTATACTCCCTAATAAATGAAAATAATTTTGACACTTGTCATCTTCTAATACATTATGCCACATGGCTTTTTCTTATTATTTTCATTTTCTTTCACATGTCATTTAATGGTTTTTTCATTTTATTAAATTTTACATAATATTTTAATGTGATCATAAATGCATATTAATTTCATTAATGGATTCCTTCAAATTTCAAAATTATTAAATTAAAATCTCATTAGTTTCCTTTGTTTATTTATCTAAATTATTTGTTAAATTTAAAAGAAAAAAAAACACTTTAATTTTAATAATTCAATATTTTTCTCACTTTTTCTTTATAAATTCAAACTTCAAATGTTTAGAATTTCATATTTAATTCTTTTTTTTAAATAAACTCATGTAATATATAGGTGTCACACCTTTTATATATATATATATATATATATATATATATATATATATATATATATATATATATATATATTCCATGATTTGAGAAAAAATCATTTTATTTTATTAATGTTTTTACAAAGAAGTTTGAGTTTTTCAACCAGTATCATGTGCATTCATTTCATTGGGTAGGTTGAGACTTGTATAGTCTAGATAATGAAGTAGAAAGGAACAAAGTAACAAAATGGTAAATTACATTTTATAACACATAAGAGGTGTAGGTATATGGATACAAGAGTTTATATTTCTTCCTTGGCCCACCCCTCACAAATTTGAGGTGAAATATATAATATATAGATTCTATATTTCTTTTGAATAAAAATTGATAAGCTGTGAATTATAATATGGCTCACTCCATTCTAAATTTTAATTCATAATGAATGAAATAATTTACATGTTAAGACATATGGATTAAAGAGGTAAGACAATAATTTTTTAAATAGATCAAATAACATTTCAATCTCTATAGTAAATTTCTTGTTCATTAGGTTTGTATATTAATATTTTTTTTATTATCTTAATTTATTAGTTACTTCCAATATAAACGAACAATTTACTTTAAAATCATATATTGTTAAATTTTGTTAACACTTTCAGTATTTTGCTACTTGCTCATATTTTGTAATTATTTGGCATACCCTAAAACAAAATCTTGGTTACGCCACTGAAATACATTCATGTATGTGCGGTTTTCAAAACCTTTACATGGTTCATGTGTGATGGTTTATATGTAACATAGTTTAACAAAATAACGAAGTGGAGATCTCTATTTAGTCAATAACCATATTCTCTCCCTCTTATTTACTTTAACACCCCGATTGTTAGGGAATTTTAGATTTAATTAAATTAGAAATAATTAATTTTGAAGTTCAAGATTTATTAGAATAAATATGGGGTAAAATATTCAAATTACATTTGTTCATTGGTGTTAAAAAAATAATTAATTGTATTGTTGCTAATCTTTTCGATCTGGTTATTTTGTTAGCTAACTAAGTTGAACATATGTGGGTTTATAATTATATTACTGTTAACATAAATAATCAACTATTGAATATTTTAGACTTATAATATATATCGCACTTCACTTCAAATATAATTATGTAAAATATGTATAACTATTAGAATTGTAACATACAACTCAAATGTTTTTTATTAAACTACACATGGAAAATGATAAAAAGAACAAAATGTACTTAATGAAGGTTGGATATTCATTATTCCACCGTGTCCCATAGCGTGCATGTGCATTATCCCTTTCTTTCGGACTGATTTAAGTTTTATCTTTGACTAAACTGCACAAATGGTCCATGTGGTATGTCGAAAATTGTCACTTTGGTTCAAAAAAGTTTGGACTAGCACCAGAGGTCCAAAGTTTTCATTTTGTTGCTTGTTTGATCCAATTTATTTTAAACTGTTTTAAAATACCAATTTTGCCCTTTGTATTTTCTTTTTCTATTTATTTGTATTACAATAATTAAAAAGAAAAGAAAAAAACTCACCCGCATCACTACCCTACCCCTCCCTGCACTTCCCCTTCTCTTCTCTTCTCTCTCTCTCTCTCTCTCTGAATTTTCACAAAATGAAACTAACATCACCACCGACTTCCGGCGAATGGGGGTTCCGACCACCATAGATTATTCCCGATCGGAGCAACACCACCTCTCCATTTCTTTATCTCTCTCAACAACATTATAACTCGATGAAGATAGTAATCCAAAGAACAGATGGTTTGGTCGGAGAAAGAATTTAGTTAGAAGTAGAGGTTGGGACATACTAAAGAAGACGAAGGGCAGCGAAGATGTGAAAACCCAGATCGACGTCAAAGGTGGCTTTGTCCTTCAGTAGTTTCGATTTGAAA